GACTGCAGGGGGTGCCTAAGCCTGTCAGTCCTGTCGTGGGGGGGCAGCAGTGACAGCACCCATGTGCGCTGGGGTCAGCTGGATGAGCTGCTCAGCCTGGTGGTGTAACTCAAAGAAGAGGTTGAAAGATTAAGAAATATTAGGGAGTGCAAAAGGGCAATTGATTGGTGGAGTAGCACCTTGGCAACCCTGAAGCAACTGGAACAAATGGAGGCTCCAGAAGAGGCAGGTGATCCCTCAGCCTCTTGTGACCAGGCAGAAGGAGGGGACCTAAGGGGTGGGGGAGACTGGAAACAGGTCCCTGCTCAGGGAGGCAGGAAAATCCCCTCACGACACCCCTCACCTTCTGTGGTGTTCCTTCACAACAGATACGGGGCCCTGGAACTCTTGAATGAAGTAGAGAAGTATGAACAGGAGTCGTCAAACAAGGAGTAAGATCAAGGTCCACCAAGGCCAGGTTGCTCTAGATCAGGTATTAAAACCAATTCTAAAAAAATCCCGAGAAGGGTCATTGTAGTAGGTGACTCTATTCTGAGGGGTGTCAAAGGCCCAATATGCAGACCAGACCCTCTTCACAGGGAACTCTGCTGCCTCCCTGGGGCCCAGGTGAAGGACCTCATGGCTAAACTCCCCACTCCCATGAGACGCAGGACTACTGCCCTCTCTTGGTTTTTCAGGTAGGCAGCAACGATATGACCAGAAGTCCTAAATCAATGAAGACAGATTTCAGGGCCTTGGAGAAACTGGTTAAAGGGTCAGGGGCATAAATTGTGTTCTCCTCCATCCCTTCAGTTGCAGGGATAGATGAAGAAGATTACGGGAGAACTCAACAGATGAACTTGTGGCTCTGAGACTGGTGTTACCAGCAGGACTTTGGATTTTTCAACCATGGGTTAGCATACAGGACACCAGCTTTCAGCATCAGATGAGATGCACCTGTCCCAGAGGGGGAAAAGGATATTGGGGCACTCACAGTGATTTAGCCCTAATGATCTGCATCATCCTGCAGGTGCAGTAAGGAAGCAAATCATTAGGGCTACCACTGAAGTCTTCACTTACAATCACAAAGAAAAGATGTGAACTGAATAAGACAAATTCAGAGACAAATTTGGCCCTGCAGATGTTCATTAAATATATGGATTCCAGGCATATTATTAATAATGGACTTTCCAAAAATCTAGACCCTTCACCAAGCAGAAGTAGGCTGGAAGCATTCAGATGAGCACCATCGCATAAAACTAAAACACAGCAGTCTCAAAATACCCAAGCTGCACCAGTAATTCATGACAGAAACTGCTCAGCTGGCTATAGCAATTAATGGTCTGCAAGTCCTGCCCCCACATGAGGTGACCTGAGGAAGTGTCTTTTCAATGCTTCATTTGTGGATCCTGACTTATAGCAGTGAGGTGGAAACAAATCTTTTCTGGTACTAAATGTACGTTGCTTCATTCAGCACAGCATGGAATTGATAGTTATATCGTTATCAGTTAGGTACTCTGGGAGCCTGAAATACTGCCTGATTTTAAATAGCTATAGTAAGGTTGGTGCTTATGCTTCCCTCAGCTATTGTCAGTGCAAGAGACAAACTCTTCAGGAAGGCAGTTCAGAGCAACAAAGTCAGATGAATATTCTGACATGTCTTCTCTATATAGATGAAGAGGGAGCCTGCTGAAATAATCTGCATAAGCAGCATCTTCAGTGATCTAATGGTAATGAGAAGGAACATTTCTTCTCTACCTTTTACCTAGTTAACTCTGCCAGTCAAAGCAATTACAACATTTGAATGAAAAACAGGCTGCGACCTCCAAGATGGTCTCAAGATCCAAACTGCTTCAAAGCAATGACAGGATTGGCTAGCTAGATTGAACAGTCTCTTTCTCCACTAGCAGTTACTTGATGGTGGTGAATATTTTGCAGAACAAAAGAAAGAACCAGGTCTATCTTACACTTTATTATAGTGAAGAGGCCTTTTTTGTTAAAGGGATTGTTAATGGCATTCTCTCCCACTTTTTAGAAACAGGATGGCTATTGAGTCCTTAAAGATTTAGTCTCTGTTCCTGTCTGAATATGGCAGACACAGCTGTCAAATGTCATTCTTTCAGGCACCACATCTAACATGATCAAAGTCAATAATTGTCTTTTCCTATATTAGGCTCCTTAAAAATGGCAGTATTTTGAAAAGAAAAAAGTCAATCCCCACTTTTCATCTTAAATTCTAGTGTCTGCTCTTGGTTAATAAACTTTCTTAGTTTTAATGAGTAAGCATTTTTTCAAAAGTGACTAGCAATGTCAAGTACATAGATTGAAACACACTGATTTTCAGGAGCAGACACAACATGTTCTTCAAATCCAGCTCCTCCCAAAGTATCCCAGGCTAGGCACCTCATAAACAGCACATATTTCCCACCTCAGTACATCTCTGTCAGGTTGCAGCTGCTTGACCGAAGAGACACTGGACAAAGCCTTTACCAAACCCAAGGCTTGAATTCATCTCTCTAATGTGCTTTGGGACATTTTACTTTGAAAAATGTTAACGTTGTCTATTGACTGCAAAAATTCTCTCTCAATTGCCCTCCAAGAACATGTTAATTTGTATTAAACAAATTAGGCTAATTATTTGCTTTCCACAAAACAGGATACACTAAAAGCTCTAAATGATTTGCTTTCCTGATGAACAAGACGTTGTCTTGCTCACCTATTGGATTCTATCACAGATCTGATCATACATTAGAAGGTCAATCTAGGTGTTTTATCAAATAGCAAAGATAAGAGGAAGCTGGGAAACACAGGCCCCTTGAGGAGAGCCCCCAAGCCCTCTAAGTGGTCTATGGTGCCATATGTCAGACACGAGGAGCTGGAGAATCAAAAATGGGGTGACTGTTTCATCTGTTACATGGAATCAAAGTGGGATGGGGGTCACTTGAGTGTACACATAAGAGAAACTCATGTCTGGGGAAGAGTATAACACTGTAATCTAAAAAGGTGCATGAAGGCTCCAGCTTCAAGGGCATCTATTTGAAAAAGAGCTCCATAATCTGACCAAACTATTCATGAAGAACATTTCTTTAGCCTACCAAAGAAAGCACAGTACGCAAATCTCCTTAACAATTGAGCACCTTGATTGTGTTTTACAGTACCTCTTTGATACAGGGGAAAGAATTCTTAGTGTCAATTAGAAGTATGTAGTCAAGCATTCTGAAATGTTATGTTAAAAAGACTCATAATTTACATAACACATAATGAGTGTTCATCATATGAGCCCACAACACAGGATCACTACTGCATTATTACAGGTATTTCCCTTAGGTACACATGCAAAGTGCATCTTTAAAAGACAAAAATAACATTTCTTTTTACAAGACTCTTCCCTGAATGCCAAAAGCTGCAGAAGGCTGTTCTCCAGGTTTCGCTGCATAGTCAGCTCTGAAATGCTCTGCTAAACAGCAGTTGTTTACAGGAAAGGTCAAGAGGGCCTAATTAACTTGTCATTGTGCACAGACCCCCTTCCTCATTGAAGTGATTCAACTTGTTTCCATAACAGCTACCTGCAAAATGGTAATACGGATCATCCTCTAACACTGTATTCACTGGGATCACTTCATGGGCTTTTGCTGCAAGATGTCAGTTATTCTCCATAACCTGTGACTGCGTTTTATGACAAACAGGAGTGCTGCACAGCACCAGGGAACACAGAGCTGGTGATGGGGTAAGGCAAGGAGGTGGTGCGTGTAGCTCTTCGATACATGCACTGCTGATGTGTCTGTCTCCTTGCTCATAGCACAACCACTATATGTAGTCAGTCCTGCTTGCCAGGACTGAAGAGATTTTGGCAAGCCACATGAGGAGCCTTCAGCTCCTACCTAGACAATCACCAGAAGCAGCCAGGAAAGAAATCAATAGGTCGTCTCATCTGGAGGATGGAGACCCTAACAAATGCATCCCCACTTCCTAGTGCCAAGCCGAAGTGGATGCTAACATTAGACCTGGACCCACAAGAATGTGGCTCAGAGCTAAGAACATTACCTATGGATTTAAGGCCATTACACCTAATTTAAGAATGAGACTACATCACAAATAGCAACACTTGCAGAAATCCCCAAGACAGCATGAAGCTAACTATGTCCTAAGAATGCAGTCATCTCATCAGGTCTTCTGTCCTCTCCCAAAAAGCAGAGCTCACAGGCGGCATTTTGTTAACTTACCTCTCTCTTTTGGGATCAAAGGTGACATAGGGCTAACTCAGCTATACAGTTTTAGGACTTACACTGATATTTTTGCATCATCACAGAAAAACATCTATATTTCTTTCTGTTTTCAAGTTGATGTGCCTGCACGATCCCAGCACTGTTTGAAGATCCAGTATGGTATCTCTTCATGAAACCAACCCAGCTTGTTCTGAGCTATTTCTGTCATTTATAATAAGATACTACATTGGGCCTGGTAGATACACCCTACTACAGCAGTGCATCCTCTCTTAAATGCAGTATCTTTCCTGTTCGCCCCACTGTGCAAGTTAGGGGGAAAAAAAGAACATACCATAAGCTGAACTAAACCACAGTTCAGTATTTGCGTTACTTAGGGAAAGAAATGGCTAATGTAAGTCTGAGGGCTTTGATCTATTGCCCACTAAAGCCAGTGATACCGTTGTAAAGTCTCTTAATAACAACTGGATTAAGAGGGAGAAGATAAAGATACATTTCAGAATATCTTTGGATAAGGAAGGATAAAGCAAAATGACACAAATAAATCCCAAAGTCCTAGCAGTCATGAAGTCACTCCAAAAACTGTCTGGTGAGCTTCAGTACATACAGTTACTAGAGAAAAAACATGAAAATTTATAATAACTCATTTTGTCTTGTTGTATTTTTAACCTGTTGCACTGATTATAACATGCTGTCAACAGCCTCATCAATTATCCATTGCAAAAAAAGTGGGCTCTAACATTCTGCAAGTGGTATTAATTGGTCTCAGTAGCACATAATGAGTTTAAAAGCTCCTACCTGTGTGCCCACGGGGATGGTGGCTAGAGGCGGACAACAATTTACAGCAGACCATTAACACATAGACCAGAAAGAGCCAGTCAGATAGAAGCATTGATTTGGCACAGAATCTCATCCTGGAGGCAGAAAAGGAAGCAGTTGAGTGAAAGAACAATGTGAGTAAGGAATAACATAAAAATAACGTGGGGAAGGAAAAGCTGGAAAGATGCTGAAGAACTAATATGGCTTATTACAAGGCAACACTCACAAAATCATATTCATGACTTACTTAGGATCAAGTCTTTGTTAAGCATGTTTTATAATTAGAAGCAATACAATGGCTATCACACATCATATTACCCACAAATACGTTTATAACAACACATTATGAGTGAAATACATTTCTATGAATCTGACATAAGGGGTGGGGGTTTTGTGGATTAAGATCCACCCACACTCAAATTTAAATATACATATTTCTAAGTTGTGCTAATATTTTTAAACTGCACTCACCTCAAGGTCATAGAAACTTCATAGAAAAATGTCCTTTTTACTTAATACTTCTCAGAACATTCTTGCTAAAGCTACCAGCTCTTGTGTAGCCATGCACATGAATTGGCTGGATCTTCCAAGCACACAACATCTGCTAGCTTTCCTGAAGATCAGTAAGCTTGCTGAGGGTTAAACACTCATGAAACCAGCACCTCAGTCAAATATGTGAGGACTTGCTGTTCTGCCAGGGTGTTAGAAACTGCATTTCAGAAAACATTTGTTCTAAAGAAAGTGGATGTTGTTAAGTCTTATTCACGTTCATGTTAGAAGTAAGACCACAAATCCTCAGTAATTTTCCTGCAAATATCTACAGTTAAATCCCTCAATAGCTTATGTTATGCCATTCATCATATAGAAAGGTAATCTAATAAACTCAGTTACGATGATTTATTACTCATGCTATACATAAATGGGCGTTATGCTGTTGAACCCTTAGATACAATGTTCCACATTTTCAGCAAATACTGTAAGCAGGAATACATCAAATTAATTAAAGGCAATTTATAGATTTGCATAAATTGAACTAAATACTGTTTTCATAGCAGTGACGTTAGTCTGCAGTTAATCAGCACGCTGGGATTTGGGCAAGCCTATCGCAAGCATGGTTATTTGCACCAAAAAATCCTTTGGGAACTTTTTTCCCCTGCAGAAAACTGATTCTTCCAAGTATTTTCTAAATAATTTATCTGTATATCTTTAAAATACCTGAGACTTTAAAATACCTGAGACTATACCTGAGACTATATCTTTAAAATACCTGAGACCTGAATATAGCTATTCCAATATTCAAGTGCTAAATAGACTGATAGTTTAAACAAAAAAAAAAAAAACCCTCACACCTTAGATAGCTCTACTGTCAAAGCCAGGTGAAGCATTTAGATCCTTTTCTAAATTCGATAACCAACCTACAAATGAAACCAAAACAAAGCCATGTTTTCTCATTTAAAAGCACTTACATAATTTTCCCTTTTGCACATCACAAAACAATGTTGTTCAATCATTGTGTATGAATGGGAATGTTGATAAAGCCCAAACAAATCATAAATGCACTTATTGATATCAAAAGTTAAGAGACCAAAAGCTTGCTGTATGTAAATATATTTTAGCAACAAACACTATTTTACACTTGAGAAAATAATGCATTGGTGAAAAAACAGCACCTTCTGCTGTCCTTGTAGATTTTACTCCAGCCTACATACATTTTTTTTAAAAGCTGCAAAAATATTGCTAAGAAGTTACTCACCATGTATACAGATTTAAGAAATAAAAAAAACCACATGTAAAGAAACCGCATTTTAAGGACTGATTTGACATAAAGGTACCTTTCCTTGCTTCAAGAAGGTGCTCTGTTTTGAGCCCAATATGTTGTCACCCTGAATGCAAATGACCCAGTACAGGTAGAAACACACTGAGGCTCTTTTGCAGCAGTGTATTGGAGTTTTCAGCAAGCAAGAATCAAGCCCAGAAGATAAAGATATCACTGATCCTTGCCTACCCGACAAGCATCCTCTTATGGAGCACTCCCAGGCTAATTCTGAGCAGCTACACTTCAGCTAAATAAGCATGGACGTAATTCACCTCTTGCACCCAGCTGAACCACGTAATGCTACTGAAGCTAATGGAATTGAGTCACTGTGAAACTTGCATAAATGTTATTAGTGCTATTGATCCAGTATTAGCCTAAGGAAACTGCCCAGTAAGCTCTGAAATCTATCTGCCATTTCGGATTTTAGTCACCCAAATCTTGCCCAGGTAACTGAACCTTATTTTCTTGAGGAGAGATGAATTTAACCTTAGTTTTCTTTCTCCATGAGAAACACATGACTTACACCTCATGCACCAGTTGCCATTAAATAGAAAGTCATCATCTGCTCATCTTGTGATACTACCCCTCTGTTGTTCTAAACGCAAACACAGGAATCTGTTCCAAATACTAGTGGAAACCCCAGATCTGGTGTCACCCTGTAGTATAATGAAGACAGGGACCTTCCCTTCAGGTTTCCTGAGGTGGGACTGAGAGTAGGATTGAACCCTTCGAATTAAATACTGCAGATCAGACATTTTGAGCATGCCCTTCCTGGTGTGAGCTGATGGAAGGGACAGGTATTTAGCCCCAAATCGTGCACCACATGCTCAACAGCTGTGATTTCAGCATGTAAGTGTACCCAGGTGTTCCCACCTTTCCCAGTGCAGGAGCAAAGCTGGTGTCTTGGAAATAGGTTGTCTGACCTAATTTCAAAAACTATCCCAGATTATGAGTTGACTTTTTTGAAGACATGACCCTGATGTTAGACAAGGAACATGAAACTAGGTTTCATCAGGTTAAGAGGGTAACCTTACCCCTTTGTAAGTATATTCCAGTCCACGCATGTGTATCCCTACAAAGCATCAACTTAGTTATATCCAAACTGAAAGGCTGCTACAAGCATCGAGTACCATTAAAACAATACAACATTTAGTCTGCCTTGCAGACAGACAAGACACAAGTCTTCAGCCCACTAATATAAAGAAATACAAGAGGATCTTTAAAAAGGCAGGGGAAAAAATGAAACTGGGCAGACAGATGCAGCAAGGGGTGCCAGGCCCTTCAGCGTCCGTGGGCTGCAGCTTTCAGAAATGTCAAGCCTTCATTCTCTGCTGGATTCAAGTGGATATTGTTGCTAACCAGAACAGCAAATCTTTGGTGTCATTTGAAAGATAAAAAGTGCTCTTACCTTGGGGACTTTGCAAGAATTTTGTTCCAGTCAAACACAATTATTTCAGTGTGTTTTTCATAGTTATTCCAGATTCCCATTTGCGACAGCAAATAAGCCTCTCTGCATTTCAAAATTTTTCCTTCGCTTTGGGGACCTAGAAAGAAAGCCATATTACACTGCAATTAACGTCTGGAACGGTGCTGTGAAATAGATCTTTGTTACCAAAATCATTGTTTCACAGTGCCATCTACAGTGCAATCCAAGGCAAAAGGCAGCAGTCATATTGCTCTTTTCACTTGTTTCCAAGAACACATAGAAACTGTGATAAGGCAGCTCTGAAATATCACTGCATTAACTAAAGGCAGAGCTCGCTATACTAGAAATTGTAATGTGTGCTGCTCACTGTGTCCTTATAACCATGTGCCCTCTTGCCACCCAGACGCTGTGAAAGCTGTGAGGTCTGAGACACCATCATAGTGCAAACAGATTTCCACGTGATTATGTGAAACCTCCAACAGTTTGAACCAGTGATTATTAAAGATAGGAAAAAATCTTTCATTTTCTTCATAAAGATTTGGCCAAGGTCCTTGGAGTCTGGCTGCCTCGGGAGCAGGGGATCTGTAGGGTCACATCCATAGGATCATGTCTGTGTAATCAATCATCATAACACCCTCTGACACTTTTGCCTCTATTTGCTTCCAGAACCACATCTCACACCCAGCCCACCTATACCCAGAAGCTACGCTTTGAAATCACTATATGGAGACACTTTTGCAGCAGTACTGACACACGTTCCACAGAATAATGAGCTCAAACACTCCATTCCACACACATTCAAGCCTCTTTGCTTTTATTGTTTATATTTGTTCTCTCACTTCTATCCCTGGGCTCAACTTGACCTTCTGCTATTGAAAACATGACACAGTGCAATTTGTGAGAGTAATAATAACGTGATCTTCACCTATGGAGTGATCACAATAACCTTTTCTCATCTTCTCCCACCACTCTTTTCATTTCATTCTTCCTTTGATCAATTAGAAATTTGCTTTTAAGAAACACAAAATTACACTATAACATTGGAGGGCAAAGCATCTCTGGGGTCACAAAAGCACATAGGCAGACACCTTTCAGAAGCTTAGGACAGGAAAGCCCCTGGCTCAATACACTCAGATCCTTTCTGTTCAGAACACCATGAGAAAATAGAATAATTGCTGGAATTAAAGAGCTAGCAGGCCAGCAATCTATAATTAATCACATTTTACTCTGTCTTTGCTTTCCAGTGTGGAGAGTTTCAGAATGAGCCAAAATGCAATGCAGCAGTTCTACTCAAAACAAAATGGGGGCAAAAGAGGTGTCTTAAGACGAAGTGCTACCACCCTGTATTAATCCTTTCTTTCACAAATACACATAAAACAAAAAGATTTTTAAAAAAAATCAGTTTACCTCAATAGGTCTATTGAGAAAAAGCAAACAAACAGGCTTTTCAATATAGTATTGAATAATTGAAATGGGTGTGTGGGACATTTTTATCCATTTCATAATTGGATGGATAGATAAATATATTCTTACAGTGCTCTTGTGAAATCAATATTGCAATACACTAACTCAGGTTTTAGTGCTTATCTGTTCCATAATTTTTATTAGAGAGGAAGAAAAACTGTGTAGATGCTTCTACAGGTAAATACTAACTTTAGTGTAACCTGTTCTGTAAACACACGTTAAACACTTGTAGAAGACAAGGAAGTATTGATTATTCTAACTCAGTCTAATTAAATGGGTACAGCAAAAGCAGCAGATGATACAGCCAACAGCATATCTTAGGGCTTTCTGATGCCTTCCAGGCAGCAGTTTTTCTTAAGAAAATGGGATTGTTTGAAGGGACTGTAAGGCAAACTCCTACAGTGCAATCTTAAGTCTGAGATTCAGCAGTTTTATGTCAATAAAGGAGGCAGATCAGAACAGAAGCAAGAGGCTCACCTGGTTAATAACAGTAAAAGGTATTCCAGGCTTCTCACAGCGAAAATGTGTTTTGTGTGTATTTTGTGGTCGGTGGTTTTACTGCTGGTCCCTGCCCAATCTCAGGGTGTAGTGTTACTTTGGAAAGCAGAGCTGCTTCTTTGCAGGCTGGCACAAACAAGCAAATCACTCCTGACCGCCCATGCCAGGAGCTCTGCTGGGGCAGCACAGCCTGCGAGGGCAGCTGTTCCCACCGGCAGGCATCAGCGCTCCCAACTGGCCACCAGCCCTCCCAACTGGCCACCTATGAGCAAACTGAGCAGCGCTTTAAACAGCAGCATCAACTCCCAAGAGACACCAAAATGTCTGATGACAACTGGAATTTTGTGGATGAACTCCCTGACTTCCGCGCAGCAGAGTTAATTTACACAAGAGGGATTTGAAGAGAAGTTACCCAAGGAAAGCAATCTTATGAAGAAAGATTTTTTCTACAATGAGCTCTAGCCAGGAGGCAACTGAACCTCCACCTCCATCTCTAGCAAAGCTGTAGAAAAGAAAAGGAGGAAGGAAGAAAGGGGAAGGGCTCCACTCTCAGTATTTATGCATGGTCTGGCCATGAACAACTCCAGCTTTGCACTTTAGTTGCCCTGGACCCCAGAACTCTCCTTTTGTTAGTATTTAGTGCATCCATGTGCCCAAACTAAGACTGTGGGCTCTGGTGTCTAAAGGTAATTTCAGTGGTCAGATCTGCTGCACCTCGGGCCCAGCACAGCCTGTCTCTGTACCTCTGTGCTCCAGTAAAATGGGTATAAATTGCATTTCCCTACACCAGGGGAGTGTTTCAAGAACAATAAAGGTGTAAAGTTATTTGAAAAGTGTATGGGCACTGTATAATTCCTTTGACAGATGGAATAAGATAGCATTTTAAATTAGGTATTTCTCCTACCACTATTTACATGTTGTAAAATACTTCTTATGGCTACTTTCTGTAAAGAATAACTTACTAAACCATTTTATGCCATCTTTTATAATAAGCTGTTAAATAATTTAGAAAACCTCCATCCATTAAATATTTAAAAGGCCTTAATTTCTCCACTCCCAATAATTCCTCATTTAAAATACAGTTCATCCCTTAAAAGACTCCTCTTCTGTAAAGCAACTGGTAAAGAAGGAAGAAGTATGGGTGCCACATACTTCACAGGGCAAGTTGCCAGCCTGAGCGTTTAACCCCACTGTCAACCCTATTAAATTATTATGTCCTACTGAATAAAGAACTGAGAGAAAACAGAGCAACATTTGCAAATTCTTAGAAGAGGGAAAAAAAAAAAAGATATCTGGTCTGGTCACTGTGGGTATTTGAAAAGCGCCGCTATTGGAGTTTGAGGGGAACCACAGAAAAAGGTGAAGAGCTGGAGCAAACACCTGCTTGGCCCGTTCTACCTGTTCCACAGCAGCTAACTAACAGAGAGCGCGCACTTCAGGGCTGGCGGACTATAAACTGGACGTTTATTTCGCCATATCCCTCCAAGGGGCACAGCAGCACTTCGCCCCCGGCCCACGGGCTGAAGGGCAGGAGCTGCCCCTCGGGGGGCGGCCGGCACCTGGAAGGTGACACTCCTCGGCCCGGCCTGGCAGCCCCACGGCACTTCTGGAGCCGGAGTGTGGAAATGGCTCTGCCGGGGTGCACTCACGTCCACTTCTGCCGGTGCTGAGGCGCGTTGCCGGGGGGCGGCCCGGGCGG